AAGGCACAAACAGCCACAAATGTTCTAGTACTTTGTAGGCGAATCGTTGGTAAACAATGGGGCCTTAACCCAAAATCTACTCTATGGATTTATACTGCCATAGTCCTGGCCAATGCTTTCTTACGGATGCGTGGTCTGGATTAATGTTATTAACAAAAGCACGTATTTAAACATTTTACAAAAGGTGCAAAGACTTGCTTGCCTAAGCATTAGTGGGGCTTTAAATAGTACCCCTACTGCTGCATTAGAATTTTTACTGCAAATTCCACCCTTGAAATTATTCTTGAGCGGAGAAGCAATTAAAGCCATGTATAGATTGAATAAAAATGGCACATGGTGCCAAAGGACAGGTTTTGGTCATAAAAGCCACCTGAAAAAGGCCACATTGACATATGTCTGGACTTGGGCAATGAGATCCCTATAATCTATATGCCCAAAGATGCAATTACTAAAACAATAGTTCCAGATAAACTATTCTCAACTCATATACCAAAAAGGAATGAGATAGAATCTCTAATTGACCTAATTCCAACAGGATCAATTGAATGTTACAATACACATAACTTTATATTCTTGAAGAATAATTTGTCAGGGTATATTTTCTCCTTTTCACATATCACAACGGATGCAACACAATCACCCCTGAATTCTAAATACACTTATCACATTTTGAAACGTTGAACAACATAGCGAAGCAAAAAGATACGAACTAGCCAAGCTTCGAGTAAAGAAAGCGAACTGGCATTTCAGCAGGGCTTATGCAGATCGGAAACCTTACGTTTTGAACGGCAATTTCACACAACCTTAAGTGCAGATGCGCTTAGTTTTTGTTGCCCAGAAATATATAGATATACCGTATTTACTCAAAGATAAGACTCTATCAGCTATAAAAGCCACCTTACATTTGAAATTAATTTTAAGATATAAAAGTGTAAATGAATATTTATTTTATCTTACATTAATTCTCAGAAAGAAAACCTTAGTTCTGTCTTCTTTTTCAGAATTTTATAAGGTATTTTTTTTCCCTTCTTTACGCATGCCTTCGTAGTTGTAATTGGAAACATGTTCAACCTAAAGTAATGGAATAGAGCCCTGGCCAGGAATCGAGCCCTGGACCTCTTGAATGCAAAGAGGTCCAGTGCTCGATTCCCGGCGAGGACATTGCATATTTTTACGTCTCATGCCAAAAAAAAAAAAAAAACTAATGGTTCTACATGTGGCGCCTGAACTAAAAGGTGGTGAAAGTTGATTTGTCACCACCTGGATTAGGCGGTTGGGTTCCATAATCCTCAGTCGCCGTTTAAAAAGGGGGAGTATATATTGTATTTTTGTATTATCTCCCTCCTTTCCGTATACCTTTGTGGTGTAATTGGAAGCATAGACGAATTAATAGTGTAATTGGAAGCATAGACGACGCATATTCGAGAAGTCCAGTGTTCGAACTCCGGCGAGGGCACTGCCCATTTCTCCAATGAGATCCCTATAATCTACATGCCCAAAGATGCAATTACTAAAACAATAGTTCCAGATAAACTATTCTCAACTCATATACCAAAAAGGAATGAGATAGAATCTCTAATTGACCTAATTCCAACAGGATCATTGAATGTTACAACAGATGGATCAAAATCCAACTTCATTGGAGCTGAGCTATTATAAGAACCAAGGGATCTGAAGAAGATTTCATTGTTTCATCTATACCTTGGTAAATTAACAACTGTTTTCCAAGCCGAGGTTCTGGCGATCAATATGGTCGCCAGGGAGCTCTTAGCTAAAAATACAGTTGATAAGTATATATATATTTCTCTCTGACAGCCAATCAGCCATCCTTGTCCTGGCTAATCGTGTCAAGTTACAAAACTGTGTTTTGAACTGTACTCAAGATCTCAATTCTCTGGCTCAGGCCCATAATACCATTAGTTTAGTCTGGGTCCCAGGTCATTGTGATTTTGCTGGAAATGAACTAGCTGATAAAGTAGCTAAAGATGCTGTCGCAACTCCCATGTCTGGCCCGAACCATTTTACCCAGTTTCATATCAAACGGTTAAAAAAAGAGTAAGAAGCTGGATAAAGAAAAAACATGATGATATATGGTCTAAACTACCAGACTGTGCTCATTCTAAATTGGTGCTCAGTACACTTAACTTTTCAGGTAAACTCATACACCTCAGTAGAACTAACTTACGCCAGGTAATTCAAATTGTTACTGGACATGCTTATCTAGCTAAGCATCTCCACAAATGTGGTCTTGTCGAATCTCCTCTCTGCCCAGCTTGTGGAGAAGAAAAGGAAACACCTTTTCACTTTCTGGGACGATGTCCGGTGTTTTCTGTCCCTAGAAACAAATTCCTTGGGTTTCCCTATATTACCTTTGATCAAGCCCTTCTATACAAAGGGCTCTCTGGCATAATAGGGTTTCTGATGTATACTAAATACCTACAGGTAAGGTGAATTTGAAACCACAAGAAACAAGCATTGAGACGCCCTATGAGTTTTTTTTTTTTTTTTTTTTGAAAAGAAACTATGCAAGGATTTCCCTCTCATAGCTGTGTTTTGGAATATAATTTGAAAATAGATATCAAATCTTTATACACTACCTGGCCATTTGGCTTGAGAATGCACCTCTGCCCTCCTTATTTATTTATTTATTTATTTGACTCTCCATCGCACTCTTGTTTGGTCAAGAATTTGCGTTTGGTGTTTGGGAGGGATTGAATCGGTTTTTTCCATCCAATAGGGAAGTTTTCACGATCCAGCCGATACCTTGAACTTAGAGATGGGATCTTTTGCTGATACTATAGATTTGGTGTCAGTTTGGGATCTTATCTATTTATTTATTACTTACCTTTTACGGGAGTTACCATTTAAATCCCTTGATTTAAATGATCAAATGGCGGAAGAGTAATGGGCAATTTTGCCTAAACTCTTTTCCTTCTTTTCATAAGAAGGAAGCACCCCTATTGTTATGTTATGTTATCCCATCTGTGTCTGAAACCTTCATAAAGCGCAGTTGGCAATTATTTAGAGTTGGAAATTGTATGCTCATGTAAAACAACCTCACCAATAAGCTTTTATCCACTCATGTCAGCATCACAATTAAAACTTTGTGTACGAGCAAGTAGGAGGAAAAACAGAAATAAGCTGTTAATTCTAACATTATGCAAGTTATAGGACTCTGATTTGTGTATTTCTTGTTACTGCATTTTTGCAGCAGCCTCTATTGATGAAAATTTTAACTTTTTAGCCCAAAGGAGCATTAATCCAGAAGGGCTGTTAAGTCTTGAAACGGCATTTTACATTGGTTCACTATAAACAGCATATCACTTTTTAAATTGTTGCCACCAAATTTTATCGTCCAGTATTATATTTAAAGAAATCAAATAATGACGAATCTGCATGAATGTGTGTATGTTTCTTGCATTGTGAAAAAAATGCTCGTACCTAGAGCCATCAAATTTTGAATAACGTAATCCTCCACTTGAACATGGGCTCCTGGAAGCCCGAATTTTGAATTTGTTTCATTATTTATTTCATATTTTGTAAAACTTCAACACATTTTTGAGTAACAAGTAATTTTTTTTTTTTTTTTTCTAAATTTCAAAGTGCAAAGTGAGCATTAGCAACTCTGTATGGGAAAAAAAATATTTTTATCTCCAGTGTGCGAGAGTGTCTATAAAAAATTGTAAAGATATGCATTTAAAAAATATTTTGTGATATTGCTGTTGAATTGAATTTTATGTGGTTTGAATGTAAGAACGTGCTATTTACTAAATAATGGTAACACACAAAACATTGAAAAAAAAACCCTCTTTGGGTATAATATACTGAAAGCTTTCAGATTTTTATTTTCAAATAAATTTTTTATACTTCCCGCCAAAAAGTTCCTCTTCACGAGAATAACTCCTTCGCAAACCATATTCATTTCTAACAATCTTTCCATTTGTATGAATTTTTAAAGTATTTACAGACATACAGAATACCTGGTGTGTTACGAAGTGTGACACAGAAAAAAACGAGACTGGTCCAATAAATCATTGTGCTTATAGAATCAGTTCTCTGCGACATTATCACCTTCAACATTCACACACTTCTGCATTCGGTGCTGCCATTACTGGGGACAGTTCTGGAAGGTCCTTTAGGGGATTCTCTGTTTTTTCTGAACTTCTTCAAACTGAGGTAAAATGCCTTCCCTTTAAGCAAGATCTAACTTTAGGAAATAAAAAAAAAAGTCCCACGGAGCCAAATCAGGCGAATAAGGAGGATACCCTATTTGCTGGTCAGAAATTGCTTGACAGATAGGGACCATGTGAGCGGGTGCATTTTCCTGGTGCAAGAGCCATCCATCACTCCACAACTGTGCACTTTCTTCCCTAATTTTTTCACAAGTCTTTTTAATACTTCAGTGTAGTAGTGTTGATTAACAGTTTGACCACTGAGAACCCACTCAATCATTACAATTCCATTAATGCCGAAGAAGACAATTAACATTGCCTTGAATTTTGATTTTGATTGCGAGCTTTGTTCCTTGCCGCTGAAAACTGCTTATGTCATTCAAACACACATGCATGAGACAGCGTTTCATCTTCGATGCTGATTCGCTGTTCAGTTTTTACATTAGACATTTTTTTTTTTCCTCGAGAATGCAGTTGCACATGTCCACTCAATGGCGCAGTACTCCCAACTGGCTTGATCGGTTAAGTTGAAACTTGCCGCATGGATAGAGGGATGATGTCATCAAAATTGTTGAGCTTTTTACAAGCTACACAGTCCCCCCCTCTTTTTTTTTTTTTTTAGTGTGTGTGTGTGTGTGCGTGCATACCTCGTATATATAGTCAGTAATTTAATAACTTTTTTGCTATAAAATATTGAATGAAAAAATTATTAGTTGTAGTTCATGTTTCTCATTTCTGTATAAATTTTCTTAAGGGGAAAAATAGCATTTTCATTATATGTGTCATTTCTTTATTGCAGTATATTTTACTGTATTTTGTTTATTGTAGTTGAAAAAGCCAAGAAATTGAATGATGAAATGAATGCAGAAAATGCACTTTATGCAGCAGTGGAGTCATATCAAGTGAAATCATCTGATGCAGGTATTTTTTAAAATTTTAACCACTTGTTAATACAGGGTCAAGTCGTACTATTAGAATTACCTTAGCTGATATAAACCACTTTAGAAACATGATAGCAGATATATATGTCATGGAAATAATGTAGGGATAGATACTATGGAAATAATGCAGTGAGGTTTTGGAAGGTTGCTACTGTGATAAGCCAGGCAGCCTTCAGAGAATATAAGAGCATTGATGTGTTTCACAAAATGATTTCAAAGTTTCTTAGTGGGATTACTGTCTGGCAAGTTTGGAGGCTAAGGAAGTACATGGAAATTCTATTTCACAATTCTCTAGCATGTTGATCATTTTCCTCAAACTTGTCCTTGATTCTTGCAGCGTGCAAGTTATATTATTGCATTTATATTTTTTATTGCCATCTGGAAATTCATTGTCATGCTCATTGGGACATTATTTAAATATGACAGACTGATCATATTGAAATACTCCATACTATCAGGTACAATCTGTACATGCTGTGGCAATGTAGGATGTATGGATTTGTGTAGGAGTGTCTGGCATCATCAAAAACAGAGAGATCCATATCAGTTCAGAGTAATCATCTAATAGCAGAGATTCTCAAACTTCTGTTTGGTGCCTTTTTTGAGTCAAGAAATATTTTTCTGATCATGGATATTGAGGTATGTAAACTAGGAATACAAGTTAAAACATTCACTAATAATAAATCATAAAGAAAAATTATTTGAACACAATTCTTTGCTTTATATATGAATTTAATTTTACCATGCATCAAAAACAAGTCTGAATATTCATATTAATAAGCTAGGTTTGCATATTACTTTTATGTAACAAAATTAGAATTGCATAAATATTTTATACTGTAGGACATGGAGCTTCTTCATATAAATGCTTAAGTCCAAAATTAGAAGCCTATTTAAAGCCGTTTCATAAAATTCTATGTTAATCCCCAGCCAAAATTCATTTAAAGATTTTTTTAGAAAACTATTGAAATCTTTATTAGAAAACTTTGCTGAGTTATAGAAGTATTGCTCTATAACTCAGCAAATTCTTTTTAATCATTTAATTGTAAATGGCTGTAATTATTTCATCTGAGTGTGGTTTATGAGCTACATTTTCTTTTTGGGCATCAAAATTTGAAGAAAAATATTTATGAACATGTATCTTCAGACATTTCAAATAATGAGTTGTAACTTTTTGAACTAAATCTTTGAAAAAGTTACTTTCAATTATAAAAGCATGTAAAGCTGTAAATGTTTTTTTGTATAGTTTGTTTATGTAAAATCCCATTTTCCACTCTTATTTTTCAATATGATTCGAAAAAATCTTTTTTAATATGATTTTAAGTGGTTATTTCTTTCAAGGGACATGCTTAAATCATTTGCTTTTTCAAAAGTATTCTGACAAATAATACAATTTTAAAGGCCACAACCCATTATGAAAAATGAACAAAATTAGATTTCCTCTAAAAATATATCAGCTTCATTTTTCTACTGTAATAGTCTGCATAAATGTCACCCACTTGATAGCCATCATACTTCTGCATGCAGCAATAAGATTTGGTAAGTCGTCTTTACAATACTTTGAAGATATACTACTTTTAAAGGTTTACTTTACTTATTATAAAATTTTTCGATAGCATTAAACTGCTTAGCATTTAAAACTAGTGATAATTTTTTGGTTACAAGTATTTTCTGATTATTACAAAGTAAGTAAAAATGATGTGTTCAGTACCATCAGCTTCTTTAATCTGTAATTCAAATTTTCATCTGTCTTGAAGCATTTTCACCTGTCGTCTTCGCAGACATTGAAGCAACTACGCCACTGTAAACTAATGTGAAAAATGTCCCAATTTTAAACTTCATATCCTGCCTTCATGTGCATATTACCAAAGGACAATAAAACAATAATATTTGATGTATACTTCCCTCAAATTTGATATCGCTAATATAGAAGATAAGAATGAAATTGAAAAAGTAACTAGCATCAAACTTCATAGCTGTAAGAGAAATGATTATGCAGAATACAAGTGGTTATAATTAAAGCTCTACTGTGAAATGATCATAAAAGGAAAGCTACTGCACCTGGTCATGGGAATTTATTTTCCGCGAAAAAGTTAAAAAAGTGAGCATATTTGTCAGAGTTCTCATTGTTATGAATAGTGAATGTCTCCAACCATGCAAGACCGTGATTTTCTAGTAAAATATTATAATAAATGCGATAGCAATGAATGGTGTGCTTTGCAAAGGTATCATTCAGTAAGACGAATACTCTTGGCCAAAGACACCACAGCGTTTGAGGAAAATGATGGCAAAGTTTAAAGCCATGTGTTTGTTATCTGTTGCACCTGGGAGGGGAACGAAACCAAGGAGGTTGTCGCACGTTGAATGAATGTACCATGGAGTTTGGTGTACAAAATTAATTGTAAAGTGCTGGCAGTTTTACCCATACAAAATCAAACATGTTCATTGGCAATTTTTTGTAGACAAATGAAGCCCATTTTTACTTAAATGCTGATGTCAACACCCATAACTGCAGGAATTGGGCCAAACAAATCCCTCATGTTATCTACCCAGTTTCATTGCATTCTCCTAAAGTCATCGATTAGTGTGGCATGACATCTAGTTTCATAATTGAACCATTTTTCTTTGAAGAATAGTCGAAAGCTGGACCTGTTACATGCACTGAAACTGCAGCTCGCTTGTCATCAATGTCAAGACGTTTCATGATACCTGAAGTGCAGCTACGTGGCATTTAAGAAACCACGATTTTTATGCAGGACGGGCCCCACCTCTCATTGATACATGTGTCGCACAGTTACTTAGACAACATTTCACGAATGAATGGATTATAGGTGGACACTTCTCCACTTCTTGGCCACTGTGGTCACCAGACCTCAACCCTTGTGACTTTTGGCTATGGGGTTATATCAAAGGCATTGTTTATGGTGGTAAACTATGGCAGAACTGAAAAATGCGATACACCAACATGCCCATAACATTCCTTCTGATATGCTAAGAGCTGCTGTTGAGAATGCAGTCATATGATTTAACCTGCTTTCGAAAAATGGTGGAAGGCACATTGAACATGCTTTGCCACACATTTCAGAAATGATGAAACACAATTTAAACTGATGTCTTCATGTCTTATTATTTCATTTAACAATATTGCATACAGTGCCATGAATGTTCTGTAAAAGGATATTCAAGTATCGAAGCAAAATATATTTTTTTAATATAAAATTTTTTTTGTATGTTTTAAAAATTTTAGGGGCGTTTTTTATGCGGTATTGTGCTGTAATTTGAAGTTTTCAGATTGTATTTTTTTAAGACCTTTGGTGCATTTATATGGAATTAAAAAAATCTAAGAACATTTCCTTATCATTACAAATAACTGAATAAGAACACTGATGTATAACTGGATGTTAAAAAGCAGATGTGGGAACATATTGTAATTTCCTTATATTGTTCTTCAAAATGTATTTTTGTGTGCAGTTTGCATAATTGGAATCAGTATTTAAACAGACAGTGATGTGTTGGCTGTATCAGTGTCTTCATGGCGTTGTCTGACTTGTGGCATAAATAAGACAGTTTTTTTTTGTAAAACCACCCACTGAGGCATCCCTTTCCTTAGACAGATAGCCCTTGTATGCTTTGCTGTATTAGTTTAATACTTGAATTATCATTTTGTCAAATTGAGGAATTTCCCCCTCATTGATGAAGATAAGTGTATTTTACTCATTGCTAGCTCTGATGTTAAACAAACAAGTTAATAAAATATTATGTATATTATATGTATAGTGATTCTAATTTTAATTCACAGATTCACCCATTGCGTATACTTTTAGCAATAGAGTGTTCAAGTAATCAAACTGAATATTATCAGCAATTTTAATGCACTAAAGAAACTTTTGTGTAAAGTTTTTCAATTAAATTTATAGCATGTTCAGAACCTAGAATTTTGAAAGGTAATGCCAAGGTATAAATATGAGAAATATGCTGCTATTTATGCATTTCTGCATGTTGTTAAAAAAGCTTTGAACACCAAGAAAGATTCTTATGCTGGTAAATGTGAATTAATAACATGCATTTTAAATATTTATTCTTTTTGGTTATTTTTTAATTTAACAAATATTTTCACTATTTTTTTCAAAAATATTTCAAACCAGTTAAGTATTTTGAAAACATTAAAGGAATATTCTTTTAATTTCAGGTGATCGAATGATTGATGACTTAAGGGAGCCTTCTGACATTGTGTTTCAAAATATGTTAAATTTATCAGAATCAGCTGAGAAATCAAATGCTTATTCGTAAGTATTTTTAAAATACCATTGTTCTCTCACATTTGTGGAAAAAGAATGAATTTATGTTTTTAAAATAAATATTAGTAGACTTAGGTGTAACCTTTCCTTTCTAATTCAGAGTTTATATGGTCCTTAAATGTCCTTAGTTTTATCAGAAATTTGCAAAAGTTTCTTAATGTTGCTCAATTGACATTTCTATTACTTTTCTGTGACTGTCATTCTGAGTGTGAAATAACATTTTGTATGAATATGGATTTTAGCTGTGGTTCTGTTAAGAATCTTACAGCTGACAGTGGAGTCATCATAAATTGGCAGTGTAACCAACAAAGAACAGTCAGCCAAATAAACCCAATCTTTCAAACCTTAATCCATCTTTAAACCTTAATCACCCAATCTTTCAAACCTTAATCCATCTTTAAACCTTAATCACCCAACCTTTCAAAAGAAATATTCTTAACAAGAATACAGTCTATCTATGTGTGGAAAAAGATTTTTGGGTGTTGACTTTAACGTTATGGACATGCTTCAACCTATTTTGAAGAAATACTATCTTAACCCGAGAGAAATTGTGCGGGGCACAGAGCCACCCTCTGCATCAAAAATCAACAATCCTGACCAGAAATGTTTCATGTTAATGAATCATCTTTCTAGTATCCTCCTGTTAGACATTCCCCTTTGGAATGTGTGTTGGTATTTTTGCTTGTTTTTCTTTTCTGCGAGAGAAGCAATCGTTTCTTGGAATCCATGAGGGAACTGGGTGTGTCAGTCACCCCATGTGACTGTTGATGCTTCGAAATTTTTCATTAGTAGCAGTTTAGCTGGTTTAGCTTTGTGTTCTCGAGTGTTTCCATTGTTGGTCTGTTAAGATTATTTGATAGATAATGGTTTACAAACGTAAATTTAGCAAATATGAAAAAGAGGTGGAATGTTTGAGAACTCTATTAGATGAAGTTGAGTCTTCTGAAGGAGAAATTGATCAAGATAGTGAAAATAAGTCTGGTGAAGAAATATATTCTCATGGAAGCAAAAGTGAATTTGAGCAGAATGATGATGATGATGGAAATCCTGATTTAGTAAAAAATATTTTTATTAGCAAAAATAAGACAGTTTGGCAGAAAGGAAAACCAAATCAAAAAGTAAAAACGTCTTCCCAAAATATAATAACTCATTTACGAGGATTAAAAAGAACTGAACGCAATATAACGGAGCCCCTAGAAAGTTGGGTATTGTTTTTCAATGCTAAAATGATATGATCCATTGTAGAGTGTACAAATATTTATATTAAAAAAAATATCGGTAAATTACATGAGAGATCGGGATGCCTGAGCAACAAATGATGTGGAAAACCAACAGATGGCCGATGGTCATTTTTTTATTGTGTGTTGAATGTCGCTCCAATAAATGCCCAAATTGCCTTATTGTCAACACCTTACAATATAGAAATAAAACTCGAGGAGGGAGGTTCGCCTTCCTTCCCTGTGCTGTCCGCCACAGAGCAGCATGGAAGCACAGAAAAAACTTTGAATTGAAAATATAGAAATAGGAGAAAATTTCTAAAAAATTTGGCTATATCTCATATACAGCCCCACCATAGAGATAAGAAAAAATAATGCCAGTGCTTCCTAAAGTGCTTCGTGAAAGCATCAATAATGCCACTTCTAGTGGATCAGAAGAACGCCCATCAAAGAAAACAAAACTCGACAAAGACTGATGTACTATGTGTCCAAGGTCCAAAGACAATAAAACTACAATTTCTTGCAAAATGTGTGATAATTTTTCATGTAAAATTCATTCTTCCTATGTTTGCCAGAAGTGTATGTTAGCTTCTGATCCCTGATTAGGTATGTAATAATTTTGAACGGTATTTTTTTTTAAATATTGAAATATGTTTTCTTAAGTAAAGAAGTAGAGTTTCTAAATAAAATATTGCAATTATTGTTTATAATCAAATGTTTTCTATAAAGTTTATAGCACGTGTTCCTAAAGAAACTGATTGGGGTGACCCAGTTACCCTGTGTGATCTCCAAGGTCAGTGTTGGGTGCGCACCTTCTGTCGGGTTAAAGAAAGTTGAAATCATAAACTTCTTAAAGGTCACACTTCCATTTACTGTTGTCAGTGAATCTGGAAAATTCTTCAATAATTATATTCTTCAATGGATGAAAGACATGAATAGAGCACTTAAAAAAGAAGGCTCTGAACATATTTAGCTGGATTAGAATACTCTAGTAATGGTTAGGGCTGCATATTTGTGCAGATATTTTAAATACTGCAGAAACTCTAGTAACAATGTTAACTATCTAGAGCAGCATATCTCAGCCTGTGTTCCTCAAAGCCTGCTCTAGTAATCTAAATTTCCAAAAAAGGCGGGGGGGGGGGAATTAACTGCATATGCTCCATTATAGCTGAAAATCCTAGAACTTGGAAATTATAAAAGACACTCATCTACCACTTTTTCTCCCAAGACTGATATTTCATGAAATTTTTTACCAGCTTTTCTACCTATGGACTTTCGCACTTTAGTCTTTGCAACAGAAGATCAATTTAAAGCCCTCTGCTTGTGACATCTGCCACAGCTGGCCTCATTACCAGTGAAAGTGAAATATAATATACTCTCTGTTCTGTTTGTGTGGTGCACTCTTCAGTTGTGCTTTAAAAATTCTAATTCCTTGTGCCCGTACATGTCTGTGTGAGGACAGCTTTTTGTTACTAACTCAAATATAAAAACAAAGTTGTGAAGTTGACTTGATATACATCCAAACATAGAACAGCTGTACATGAATCTACATGTTCATTCATTTTATTAATGTGAGAACCAGTATTTATTTATTTTTTAGTTAATAAGATAAAAATTATTTAAACTTTAATATCCTTGAAGTATTGAAAATTAATCTAAAACTTCTTTTTTAACTTAATTACTTAGCATCAGTATAATTAAATGATTTTAAGCAATTATGTTTTAAAAAGAGGAGTATAATGATAGAAACATATGCCCAAAGAATTGCTATCAAAGAAGATAAGAATAAAGTATTTTACAAAACATTTTAATTTATAAAAGTAGTCTCCACTTAAAGAAAGATTGAGAAATGCTAATTTAGAACATTCGCATAAAGGAACAAAGAAGGTGACTAGGCATGTTAAAAAAAGGGGAAGGGGAGATGACAGTGGTTGGATGTTGAACCAGCTTTACCATAAATCTGCAAGCTTTGTAAGATGATTCTAGGAAGATTTGTAGATCAACCGTGAATAAATTGAATTTTGTATATTATTTAAAGAATTTTCAAAAGAAGTGATAAGAAAAAGTTGTCTGAATTTTTGTACCTTCGATCCTCTTAATACATTTCTGTTTCATTTTTCATCTATTATTTTTGTTGTTTTGTGTAAGCAAAAGCATAAAGAATTGCAAAAATGATTCTATGCTTATCATGACAGATATCTGTAAAAAGTAATATCTGTGTTGATAAAAAGATATTGTAAACTGACAATTTAAAACTGTTATTGCATATCTGTTAACTAAATTATACAACTGTTGTAATTTTATAAGTCTCGCTTGTGAAATTCCTTTATTACTGTATTTTACACTTTTTTGTAAATTAATTATTTTTTTAATAATGAGCATGCAAATTTTCGAAATATGTATGAGTATTTTATTATAGGTGCAAAATATTAAGGCATCAGAAAATTATACTCCTAATTAAATGTAAATTCCTTGATAACTTTTAGGAATTTGATTTCTCAGATTCATTTTACAGTTATGCTAAATACTAGATTTTGTTTAACAATAATGTCTTAATAATAATATCTTAATATTCATATACAGAAATGTATATACATCCTGTAATAGTGTCATTAGCTATCTAATGGAAATAAGGAAATTTAAAACTTAAAGCATTGGATTGTTATGATACAGATATAAAAAAAGGGCCCCACAAAACTTAAAATACTGTGTTTTCTTAGAATTTCTTTTATAATCAGAGAGTTATTATTTTTCTTCAAGGAAAATTCTAACACAAGAAGCAATTTTAGCGTTAATTTTAGCTCCGCAGAATGATCCTGCCTATTTAATACGAGAAGCAAATTTATGAAATGGCATAAAATATAGTTTGTTTAGAAAGAAAGAAGGTTTTATTTTATGTGATGAAGATCTTTATAAGAAAGGAAACGGATATCTTGAAACCGTGTTTCATACTGAAATTCATTTAAATACCATTAACCTATTCCATCCCCCCAAATAACTACCTTATTTATTTATTTATTTTTGTTATCTGTTTTTAGATAAAAACAAAGGTACTGTATTATATAGAAAATAAATAGAAACTTTGTAAAATATAATGTAAAGAAGTAAACTGGTTTTTAGAAAGTTCAGTACTGTGATCTATGTACCTATCTACGTTATATCTTCATTATTCTTTATTGATTATGTTACCTTTTTCTCCAGTGTTTCATTCTAGTAGGTTTTATTTATTTAGTGTGGAAAAGAAGGAGCACATCTTTCTTATTTAGTCTACAGATTTGAGTTGAAGATATGCATATGCTTCGCATAGTGTAGTGCATGTTATATAGTGGGTGGGGTTTAAAAATGAAATTCAGCATAGCTAATGTCATTATGAGAGCAAAAATTACATTTTTGCAACACTGTTTAAGTTATGTTCCCCCTCAAATTACAAATTTTGTATTCTACCTTAATGTTATGTAGATTAATATTAATGCTCTTGGTAATATCTTAATGAGGAGGCTTGGCCAATTAAAAAGTCCCAGAAAGAAGTGGCTTGGTAATAGCGGGATTCTTTGGCTCCCTCTCACAGATGCCGTAGTAAAACCAAGAGAAAGATTTTATGATTGTATTGTGAAATCTTGCCTGTCTGTTGGCATTCAGTAATATTGTTTTGTGACAAATGATCTCTACATGCTTTACGATGGCTTTACAAGTTTCTGATTTGCTTACTTTTTTTTGGCAAGAAAGAAGTTCCAAAAATTCTAAAGTATTCTAATTTAATTGCATGCCAGA